AGGGTTTCCAAGGAGCAGTTGGTGAGCTTGAACCGCCAAACCTTGCAGTTCAAGCTTTGTAGTCTGGTGCATTAACTCACATGACTCTGTTACTAGATACATGGGAGCAAATGTCTTTGAGCAAAAGGTTATCGATTATATAAAATTATTTAATCCTATTAATTCTTTCCATCCATCCATCCATCCATCCATCCATCCATCCATCCATCCATCCATCCATGATTCCTATTTCTGGAGTCCTTACTATGTGCTAGACAATAGTCTAGTGCTGGGGATCTAGCCATGAATGATCATGGATTTTTTAATAGTTTGGACAAGGGTGGGGTGAGGCCTGGAGAACTATGATTCTTTTCCTTGTCATTTCAGGATGCTCAGCCACTACTAAAAATATAAGCCCTTCTGGTTATTTATACTCTCCCACATTCTCCTCATACTGCTTTGTGCTCTCTCCCCTTGAACTAGTACTTTGTTTAATTAAGTATTGAAACTTCCCTTGCAGTAGGGAATTTCGACAGTATTTGACCAAGATCCAAATCCAAAATCAGAGTAAATTCTGAATACTTGATCAATGCATCAGTTTCAGCTGATTTTGTAAATGGCAAAGTGCAATAACTTCTTCAAGGAGATGCCATAGTAAAGAGGTTTGTCATTGAATAAGCAGTTTTTTTGTCTTTGAGTAAAGGATGCAAGGCTTTATATATAAGGAAAGCCACTTTACTTCCAGTAGACAGTCATTCGTTAAATATTTTTTCATTGTTGCTGTTATTGTTATTGCTGTTGATTCAGTTCTGACTCAGACACCCTTACAGGTTTCCCAAGGAGCAGCTGGTGAGTTTGAACCACCAACCTTGCAGTTCAAACCGACCTTTTGGGCCAGTGCTTATCCTACAGCGCCATACCAGGGCTCTATTTTATAGTTAATGAGATGGAGATTCTACTTTAGCCCAGTGTAAGCCCCTGTATGTTAGGTTCTGCGCAGTTACGGCCCATGTACAATAAAAGAAACGCTGGTCCATCCTGTGCCATCCTCACAATTAGTACTATGTGTGAGACCACAGTTGCAGCCACCGAGTAGATACAAGCAAGTATAAGCTAGATTCCACACTCTAGTAGGACACTGCCGTTATGGAGACTTGCTGTTGTTGTTGTTAAGTGCCTTCGAGTCGGATCCGACCCATAGCGACCTTGTACAGGGTTTCCGAGGCTGTAAATCTTTACGGGAGCAGAACGCCTCATCTTTCTCCCGCGGAGCGGCTGGTAGTTTCGAACTGCTGGCCTTAATGTTCGCAGCCCGATTCGTAACCACTACGCTACCAGAGCTTTATGGAGACTAGACAGGAACAAATTATGAAGTTAAATAACACAAAGAAGAAACACCTCATTCAGCTTATCCCTACTCTCCCTGTCAAGCCATTTCACTTTCTCTTGCTTCCTGTTGTTGTTGTAAGTGCCCTGAAGTTGGTTTTGATATGTAGCTCTGGTAGCGTAGTGGTTACGAATCGTGCTGCGAACCTTAAGGTCAGCAGTTCGAAACTACCAGCCGTTCCGCGGGAGAAAGCTGAGGCTTTCTACTCTCGTAAGGATTTACACCCTCGGAAACCCTGCACAGGGTCGCTATGGGTCGGAACCGACTCAACGGCACTTAACAACAACAACCCTCTATAGGGTTTCCTAGGAGCAGATTGGGTTTCAATGCTTATCCTACAGCGCCACACCTGGACTCCCTTGTCTCCTGCAGTTGTTGTTAGATGCAAGTCGGTTCGGTTCCAACTCATAGCGACACTGTGCACAACAGAACAGAACACCGCCTGGTCCCGCGTCATCCTCACAATGGCTGCTATGCTTGAGGCCCTGGCTGCTGCCACTGTGCCAATCCATTTTACTAGGGGGCGGAGGGGAGGGGTCTCCCTCTTTTTAGCAGAACTTTCACTTTACCAAGCATGATGTCCTTCTGCTGGAACTGGTCCCTCCTGACAACATGTCCGCAGTATGAGAGAAGTCTTGCCATCTCGGCTTCTGAAATCTTGGCTCTTGAACACTTTTAAGCGTTCTGGTGCAGATTTGCCTAATGCAATATGTCGTTTGATCCCTCGACTGCTGCTTGCTTGAGTTGCTGGTGGATTCAAGCAAAATGAAGCCTTTGGCAATTTCCAGGCTATAATTATCAATCCTCCTGTCTGCACTCTAGATTCCCCTGTCCCTTGACATTCCTCCCCCACTTCCTCTTTTCTAACCCAGATTATCTCTGTTAGGAGGAAATCACAATTTGCTTTGGGGCCTGTGCGTAGAAGGAAATTTTACTCTACTGAAATACAGAATTCGGTTATTTAAGTCCAGTTAGTAAACCTAAGACCAAGAGAAAAGGTCTAAATTCATACCCTAAGGAAAATTATACAAATGCAACGAAATAAGGAGAGATCTACTTATATTGAGAGAAATCTATGCGGCAAATTAATTCAGCCAAGGAGAAGAGCACGGACAGAAGTGCTTGCAAATGTGATGAATCCTTCACTTCACGGTAGGAAAAAATAAAGTCTAGCGGTACTAGCTAGCATTTCATAAATTCCAGATGTCCAAGGCAGACAGGGCAGGCGTAGCATCACATTTCTTTTTAGGTAAAATAAATTTATGGAGATAAAAAAAAAATAAACCAAGCTTATCACTTGAGATTTCCAGGAGGCCTAACCTGGCAAGAAGTTTGAGTCGGGGGCTCTGAAATCTCGCGATACTTTCGCGATTCACGCCTCCCGCCTCTCCCCGCCCACCGACGGCGGGAATATTTCGGAAGTGACGACACGCTGTACGGCACGTCCGCTGTCGGAAGTGATGCAGTGATCCCAGAAGCCTTGGAGGTGAAGAACGTTCATGTGCTCTACCTGCGGGGCCTAGTGGCACGTTTAGGCAACGTACTTGGCGGAGTGGGTGCTTCAGCTTTTCCAGCCAGGCCTTTAGGGCCTTTGAGGCTGCAAATTTGGCCATTGCCCACTGGTATCGGAGCTCGTGGCGGGCGGCTCAGCGCCGTAACCCAACTTCATCATGTTGGTGCTGTTTGAAACGTCTGTAGGCTACGCCATCTTTAAGGTATGTGAGATTAGCCGTCTGAGGAACGAGGAAGAAGGCCAGCCAGTGTTGGACAGGCGAGAGAGGGAAAGACTTGGGAAAGTAACGAGATTGCTCAGAATTGCGTGGGTGTTTTTATGAGTCCAGGCTCTGAAAGGAAGGGACTGCCGAAAGGCTTCAGTGGCGCATGTTTCGATGAACACGTGGCCCTGCCTCTAATGCCCCCTAGTTCTGCGTTAGTGGGTTTGAAGGTGGGCAGGGGCAGTATTATCTGAGCTTTCATCTTAACGATAAATTCATTAAGTATTTTAAGGAATTTTTGAAAGGTTTTAGGCAAAGGAGTGATCTGATTTGTCTTTTAATAAGCTTATTTTGTGGTTACTAGATTGTAGGGGGACAAAAAAAAGAAGCAAGGGCGTTTTTGCACTAATCTAGCCAAGACCAGAATAGAAATTTAAACAGTAGTACTGATAAGATTTGCTGATGGATTGAGTGTGGATTTTTGTTTTATGTAAATGGGTTCACGATGGTGCCGTTTACGATAGGGAAGAGAACGTTGTGGATTTGGGCTGTTGAGGGGTACCAGAGAGTTTTGGTTTGGGCAACTAGACGTGGAAGTGCAGTTGTCGTGTTTTATATTTGAAGTTTGTTATTAAGTGCCATAGAGTCGGTTCCGACCCGTAGCGACTCAACATAGGGTTTTCGAGGAGCGGCTCGTGAGCTTGAACCGCCGGCCTTGCGGTTCAAATCGACTTTACAGTCCAGCGCATTAACCACTGCGCCACATCAGGACTCCCATTTGAAGTTTAGGAGACAAATGTGGACTGGTAAAATACATCCACTTTGGAGTTGTGTATTTTAATAGAGAAAGTTTGGAATAATTGGCGTGCTCATCAACTTGGGGATTTGAATAATGGAACCTTGTACGGTGGAATACTACTGAGATGTTAGGAAGAGTGAGGCTTTATTGAGGGCTTTCTAAATTTCGGGCACGTTGTGAATATAGATACCATCAAGTAGCAAAGTCTGCACATACGTGCTACATTTACAATATGCCGATATAAAACAAAGTCTTAGATAAACTATGCATAGTTGTGAATTAAATATGTTAGATGGATACAAAGCGTTTGGAAAGGTACATATCAAATTGTCGATTTGGGCGAACTAGAGAGGTTTTGGCTTTTTTGTGTTCCTGGAATTTGAAAATATATGTCAGTTTGCACTTGTTATATCAAATACTTGTTTTTTGTTTTTTAAAGAAAGCCATTAAAATAATAATTAAGACCCAAAAGGTGAAATGCTCATTTTTCTTTTCACTGGGATTATCTATAATTACAGTATTAGCAATTTTTAAGGGGCTTTTAAGAGCCCCGTTACATTTAAAGTTCTAAAGTAAGTATTTTGGTTTTGCCAGGTTTTTGAAATACTTCCTAAATTTTAAAGCACTGTTCTGAACATACCTCAAGAACTTGAATTAGTACATGCTGATGAATTTCCTTGGAAATTAATTGTTAAGCATATGAATCTGAATTAGATGCTTAGAGGAACAATTCTTTAGTCAACTTGATGCCTGCAAATGTAGAAAGGAATTGGCCTAGCAATAAATTGTCTGGCCTCTAGATAAGGGTCATAAAATAAAATCATGAATGCTTTGTAGCTGTTTTTAGTTACAGTTCAAAATTGTTATTATTTATATAACCTCATATTAGAGAAATAACTGAAGTCAGGCTTGAATGTTATTGGAATCTTGATTTGCTTATAATTGGAAATTGCAATACTTTACTTCTGAATAAAAAAATCATTGTGAATATAATAAAAACCACTAATTTGTGCTATCTAAAAGGGTGAATATTATGGTAAGTGAATATATCTTATGATCTTTCAGAGTGCTGGAGTATAAAGTTATATTGGTTGCAGAACATTTATGCTTTTATGGAAATGTATTCCAAAATATATTCCAAACTTTTTTGTTCTTAAACTAGTGTGCACATACATTGTTGTTGTTATGTGCCATGGAGTCGATTCCGACTCATAGCGACCCTGTACAGGGTTTCCAAAGCTGTAAATCTTAACGGGAGCAGAAAGCCTCGTCTTTCTCCCACGGAACAGCTGGTAGTTTAGAACTGCTCACCTTGTGGTTCACACAGCCTGATTTGTAACCACTACACCCATGTGTAATGTACAGAGATTCAAAATAATTAGGCATTTTGATTATTCTGTAACGAGGTTATATATACATTGAAAGTAAAGTCACAATATGTAGAGGGATTACTCTAATTATTTCAACAACATTTCAAAGACTCAACTTTGTTCCCTTGTCATATGAGCAAGCAGCGGAAGACTAAAGCCATACTTGAGTTTTAACTTCATCTTAGTCTTTTTGGAATATTGTGACTAGTGTGACTAAGGGAGGATTTTAAAGTTTATTTAAATTCAAATATTCATTATTCAGTGCAGGCTGTGTAACAGCAGTGTTAAGTGCTGCTGTTGGTTCTGACTCATAGCGACCCAGTATAGGGTTTCAGAGATTTTAAATCTTTGTGGAAGCTGAAAGCTGTATCTCTTTCCCACGGAGTGGCTGGCAAGTTTGAATTGTTGACTTAGTGGTTTGCAGTCCAGTGCATAGCATACATATGAAGCCACCCACACACTTTGTGTTGTTTCCTCCGGGTCTTGGAAAAAGGTATTCTTGATGTGAATACCAAATGTTCGTTGGTGTTGAGTGCCATCAAGTTGGTTCCGACCCATAGCGACCCTGTAAAGGATTTCTGAGGAGCGACTGGTGAGCCTGAATCACCGACCTTGCAGTTCAAATGCCTTTGCATTAACCCACAGCGCCACACCAGGACTCCACCAAATGTTCATACATAGCATAATTCTGAGCAGTATGCTTGAACTGCAAGGTCAGTGGTTCAAGCTCACCCGCTGCTACTTGGAAACCCTATACAGGGTCGCAATGGGTCGGAATAGATTCGACAGCACTTAACAACACAGATATAATTTACATGCATGTAATCCACCTGTTATACGTGTACAGTTTGGTGCATTTTAGTGAGATTTATGAGTTGCACAAGAGTCCTAGTGGCACAACCTCTTGGCTGCTAACTTAAGCATTGGCAGTTTGAAACCAAGCAGCAACTACATGGGGGAAAGATCTGGCTTTCTTGTGTCTGTGAAGGTTACAACCAAGAAGCTATGGGGCAATTCTGTTTTGTCAATAGGATCCAGTCTGAGTTGAAATGACTTGATGGTGCCTGCACAGTTGGTTTGAACCGCAAGGTCGGTTGTCCAAGCTTACCAGCTGCTCCTCAGAAACCCTATACAGAGTCGCTTTGGTTTGGAACTAACTCGAGGGCACTTAACAACAGAAACAACAAACCCTTGACAATAAGGACATAAATGATAGTATCCCATACAAGGCAACCGGGGTTTCTAACTGGTTCAAAATGGCTCAGTCATGACTGAGAAGTAGAATTTTGCCTTGAATAGAAAACGGGCCACAGTGCCCTCCTCAGAAGTTGCAGCTAACTAATGTATTCAGAGCCATCTTTGAGCTGGCTCCAGATTCCACACTGCCCTCCAGATTCTGATTCATCGTCATTCTGATTCATCCCTGTGGGATAGAGTAAGAACTGTTCTATAGGGTGGCTAAGGCTGTAAATCTTTACAGAAGCTGACTGCTGCATCTTTTTCCTGCAGAACAGCTGGTCATTTCAAACCACTGACCTTTCAGTTATTACCCAAGTGGTTTAAACACTGTATCACCAGGACTCCTTGCATGTTTCCTGTTGTTAAGTGCCGTAAAGTTGGTTCTGATTCATCAACCCTGTATAGGATTTCCAAGCAGTGGCTAGTGGGAATGAACTGCTGACTTTGCTGTCAGTAGCAAATCTGCTAAACGTACAGTGCTATACCTACTTAAGTCAAACTCGGACCAGGTTTGGTTGCAGTGCAACATGACTGGCCTTGTTTTCATCAACATTAGCTGAGTGGACTATAAGCAGCTGTGTAAAAGAACCAAGAATTATTATGTCCATGATCTAAACTTGTAGCATGCTTCCTGAAAATGTGCAAAAGTAATTTTGCATAGACAAAGCCTTAATGGATATAGTTGTAGGACTTCTGGCAAAAAGGTGGATTAGGCAGACCATACTACACAGACCCTATACAACAAAGATACAAGAGACGGGAATCACATCAGCAGGTCTTTCCCAAGAAGGACCCAGGGGCTGCTTGTGAAAGGGTTGGTGGTGTTACCGTAGTGTGCCCCAATGAGTCAGTACTGACTCAGTGACCCTGTATAGGGTTTCTGAAAATCAGTTGCTAGGTTTGAACATCCATCTAAACTGACCTTGTGTTCCAGGTTATCCTGTAGTGCCAACCCAGGGCTCCAGTGAAGGGGTTGTTAAGTGTTGTTGATTTGGTTCTGACTCATAGCTGACCTTAACAGTCCAGTGCTTATCTTAAGAGTACCACACTAGGAGCCCATGAAGGGGGTTGGTGCTGTTCAATGCTGTTGAGTCTGTACTGACCCATAGCGACCCTGTATAGGGCTTCTGAGGAGTGCTGGTGAGCTTGAACTGCTGACCTTGTGGTTCAAACCAACTTTGCAGTCTAGTGCATTAACCCATAGTGCCACACCAACTCTTTAAAAGTAGAATATGCTCAGCAAAGACCCTAAGTAGGTTTATATTCCATTGGGCAACTTGAACCACTAATTTGACCAGAAATACTTGTAGAGTGAAAAAGAAACTGGTTATTTTAGAGGGAAATAGCTTTCACTTTTAGGAGCCCTGGTAATGTGGTGGGTTATGCCTTGAGCAGTTGAAATCTACCACTTGCTCTTCCGGAAGGAGCTGGGGCTTTCTGCTCCTGCAAAGATTTAGAGCCTTGGAAGCCCTATACAGGGTCGCTATGAGTTGGAAACAAATGTGATGACTTTTGCAACCACCACCACCCTCATTTTGCACATGGAGTTGTACTTACTGTACTAAACTGTATAGAGTGTGTGATGTGTGTTTGTATACTTAGATGGTGCCATTTAAAGAAAACTGTTAAATATTTGTTTCAGGTTCTAAATGAGAAAAAACTTCAAGAGGTTGATAGTTTATGGAAAGAATTTGAAACACCAGAAAAGGCAAATAAAATGTAAGTGATCTTGAAACTAACAACATTTAGTTGTGTTTTTTTTTTAAACATGTTTTTTCTGATTTGCGTATTATAATCATTTTTATATTGAAATCTTTCTAAAATAACATTGGTGTGAACCTAATCATGACAAGATGTTTCAATTGAAACCAAGTCCATCTCAGCTAGTTTATGTTAGTTGCAGGATAGATTGGGAAACATTCCCATAATGTTTTGTAAGATTTCTGAAAACCAATTGTGAATTAAGTATAAATTTTTGTTAGAAGTAATGAGTGTCACAAATTCAAAGAATCAGCATGCTATACATAGATGGTTGTTGTGGTATTTCTGATAGCAAAACTCAAAAAATTAGTATAATCTAAATGTGCATCAGTAGTAGTAGCAGTAGTGGATGTGTTGTTGATGGAGCAAGATCCATGATATACTGAAAATTATTTGTGTAATGTTACTCCATTTTTACGTGTCCTTGTTTTATATGCATATGAACAAATGCCACTTGAGGTGAGCAGAAATGGACAGTGTGAAATTAGCTGAACTTATTGCTTTTTCTTAAATCTTTGTATCATTAAATGTGTATCTTAAGGTCCTCCGAGAAGTTCCCTGGCCACAAGGTAGGAAAACTTTGCCTAAGGTATACTGTTTAAGACACAATGGAAGACTACTCTTCCTTTTTAAAGGTTGTTTGCTTCAGTTGACTGGATTAACCTGATTCGTTGTTGTCAATGATGTATTCTTGTTGGAACTGAATCTCAGTGATGTAACTTAACTATTCGTCACTACCACTGAGACGACAATGAATTTGGTATGTACAGTTGTTTTAATAAAATGATGTTCTAAAACTTTGCACATAAATATATTTTGTTAGTCCCATTGAGTTGGTTCCAACTCATAGCGACCCTGTATAGAGTTACCAAGGAGCGGCTAGTGAGTTTGAACTGCAAGGTTGGCGATTCAAACCAACTTTATGGTTGAGTGTTTATCATATAGCACCACCGTGTATAGGGGGAAGAAAAGGGCCAAACCCGTTGCCATCAAAATGATTTTGACTCTTGGTGATACTATAGGACAGTAAAACTGCCCCATCAGGCTTCCAAAGGGGAGTAATCTTTATGGAAACAGATGGGCACATATTTTTCCCACAGAGCATCTGGTAGGTTCAAACTACTGACCTCTCAGCAGCTCAACGCTTAGCCATTTGCTACCAGAACTACTTACGTAAGGGAGAAAGAGTAAGGTAAGAATAGCAGTGAGCAGGTCTGAGAATGGCCTATGCATTTGATAGGTACACAAATACCAAGATTCCTGTCCTAAGAAGAAAAAACATGTGTCCAGTCTTTCACCATTGAGGTTATGTTGGAGCTTCAGTAGCTTTGCTGTGGTTTACATGTGGTAGTAAACCTCTTTGCTGTTGACCTTAGTTTCCTTCAAAGTCTCCATCTCTCAGTAACAGTCCAAACATTACTATCTCAACAATTAGAAAAACTAGTCATTTTGTGAATAGCTAACTTTGCACCCTGACACCCAGTAACAGGCACGTGCTTTGGAGATGTTCCAACACCTCATTTCTAGATATGTGGCTTTTGCTAAATCAGTGTGCCCCATGACATGTTTGTTTGTTTGCTTGTTTTATTCCAGAGTAAAGCTAAAACATTTTGAGAAATTTCAGGACACAGCAGAAGCACTAGCAGGTGAAGTAAAATAAACATTTCTTTAAATTACAGGCTTAATTTTTATTTTATTTTTTTCAATTTGTTTTCCTTATTAAAAAGTTATTTGCTTCCGTTGCCTGAGTTAACCTTATTCAATGTTGTCAATGATGCATTCCTGTTAGAACTGAATATAAGTTGATCTAACTCCGATTCGTCACTACCACTGAGACAACATTGAGTTAGCTTTTTTCATCATAGGGCTGGTTTCCCCATCCCCCCAGTGTGATGAGAGGTGAGAAGTGGTTAAATTGATCTCCCTGTGGAAACCAGCAGCATAATGCTGAAGCACAATTCAGTAAAGGCTGTACTACAAGGGACCAAGGTAATGTGGTCAAGTACACCATTTCTGATCATTCTAGTTCAAGAGTTAAGTTGAAAATACCCCGAATTCACAGTTGACCAGAAATGGGTTTAGGCAGGTAGTAATGCTCAGAAGTATATATTTTTTATCTGAAAAACCCTAGTTAGTATTTTAAGAAGTTTTTGGTTTTTTATACAGGCACTACAGAGGCATCAAAGTTTTGTTTATCTAGTGGGGACTAGTCCTTAGGGTGAAATATAAGAGTTAGAATGATGGGATTTTGATATTCAGGAAAACATGAAGAGCAGATCTAAAGCTACTGATTTTTCATTTGCTTAAATTCTACATCTCATGTCACTCAACTTCTTGGTATAATTTGGAAGTGAAGGATCATTGGAAGAGTATGGTTTAAAATTAGGCAAGAATTTGACAGACCCAAATATTTTGTTCATCAGCTACAATAGAGAATGGGTATGGTTCTCTTGTGAGAATTGGGAAGCCTGAGTAAATATGCTGGAATATTAACGGACACCCCAAACTGGATAGAGAGATAGGTTGAAGGAGGACCCAAGAATGTGGTCATTTAAAAAATGTATTTATAGAGCTGCTTCATCAGCAATTAAAGCCGTATACAGCCATAAAGCATGACTGCAATAATTTTAGCCTAAAAGTTTAGTCAGATTTGTTTGTCACCACCTTAAAGTTAAGAGTAGAACTCTGTAGACCCACAATCCAGATGTTTTAGTTGTGTGTGGTACAAAACTCGGGGTCAGTGTTCATACAGACTGAGAAGGATAGTTCTTCCTGGAATTATAAAGCACTGCAATCCTGATCCCCAGTGCCCACGTTTGAATTTTTTTTATTGTTACAAATAACCTGTTTGCAACAGTTTGTACTCAAGTAAGTTACTCAAAGTAACCCCAACTTTTACTCAAATATGAAGCAGATATTTTATTATTAATAGTTAGTATATGAATATTTGGACTGTGGTGATTGTCAGATAATTTCACAATTGTTGTCTTATATTGAAACAGTCCCGTGAGATACATTCATGTCCTTATTTTTCAGATTATAAAACTGAGACTTAAGGTGTATCTGATTTTGCCTATATTGTTTCTCTGTAACTTTAAAAATAATGCTAATGGAATGTTAATTCTAGGTGGTAATTTAAAGTCTTCTCCCTTTCCCTAATAGTGCCTTGAGGCTTCTTTTGGGTAATTGAATTAAATAAAATAGTGAATTTTTTCAAGAATCCAGTGCTTTTTACCAGAATATTACCTTATTCTTAGGAGAATAGAATCCTTTGCTGGGAATTGTCCAACTGCTTATCATAATACAGTTTTGACATGTAACCAAAACTAGCTGTAGATAACTAGGTGTTCCTCCCCCCCTCCCCCATGACTGTACAGTATTCTATTATGTAAATACATCACAGTTTTGTATTCCTATTACTTTTCCCCTCTCCCACTTACTGGAGAGAGTGTGAAGTGGAAGCTTGCAGTGCAGGCAGCCAGGGGTTTTGTGTGGACCCTCTCTTCTCCTTAAAGCCCCTTATCTAACCCATGGACTATATAGTACTGACTTGTCTCTGGCTGCATTTTAAAGCTGAGTGTCTCATGGATATGGCTAGCATTTCCTGAGATTCTCTAATGAACCTTAGCCAAGTCTCCATCTTCAGTAGAGCATATATTTTTTTTAACTTTTTATTGGGAATTGAGTGAAGGTTTACAGAATAGATCATCAGATCCATAGTCAATAAATTATATACTGTGTCAGTAACAATGATTATTGCCACCAGACTATATGTTTTAAAATGCTACCACCTTATAAAGAGTCCGATGAGCGATCACGTCCAGGATCTTTGTTGGCTCAGAAGTTCAAATATATTATCTATGTGAAGTGGTTTAAATTTACTAGTCATAATATATTCAACTTGTGAGTCTTTTTAATTGCCTTGGTAAAATTTGGGGCCAAGCCTACATTTGGGGATACTGAAAAGTTGTTGCATAGACAAGTAGAGGAAAAACTCAGTTGCTCTTGATCTCTTGCTTCCATCCCTGTACCAGCCTTTAAAAATACATGTTACAAAGGAGAGCGATGGTTTTTAAGTATTGAAATAAATCTAGGATAGAAATTTTTACTTGTAAGAAATAAATGGAAAAAATTAGAATCCAACACGAAGTAGTTCGAACCTTTGCTTCTTAGAGATTCCTGTAAAGAGTTGTGTGATGGCCGGTCTTTGTCCTCATGCTTCCCTTCAGAAGTAACAGGTGAAATGGACTTAGGATTCAAAGAGAGAGAGGGGTCACGTGGGTGAAACAAGCACCTGGCTGCTTACATACAAACTACTTGGACTTGGAAATTGTGTTGGTGACCTGTCTTCTAGACATACTTTTTAATCTCAGCCAAAAGCCAGACAATGTCAGAAGAGGTGTTCGTCCATGTAGGTCCAAAAGATGGGAATGTATGACTAAGGAAGGGTGAGGATTATAAAGGAGAAGAAGAAAAACTTGCCCAAACGGAAGATGCCTCTGAAATGTTGCATTGAGAGGCTTTTGCAAGTAGGAATTTAATGTCACGGCTGGATCAGGGACTAGCAAAGATAGGGCATTAAAGACTTCTGCTCAGCCATGCTTGTCCTGTTGTTATTAAGTGCCATCGAGTCGGTTCTGACTTATAGCCACTACTTCTGAGGAATGGCTGATGAGCTTGAACTAACACTTTAAAAAAAAAAAAAAAAGTGAAACCAAAATCCTGACATATTTTTAAATATTTCACAATTTCAAATGTGAGATTATGAAATTACATAGAAGAGTGGATCTATTTGCCAAACAAGATTGTTCCCAGGATTTCATGATTCTAGATCTAAGTTCCTAAGTGTAATGCGACATCAAGGGGAGGGGCCTGTGACTTGGTCAACTCCTGGCTCTGGAGCAGAAGTCAGGGTGATTCTTGGGAAGAACTAATGAAATTGGGAAACTTGTAAAATAGTTTTACATGTATTTTAAATATTTAAATGAAATCTTAACCTCACAACTAATGATTTGAGTTAATGTTGATGCTTTATTTTTCCTTTTCCTAAAAAGCATTCACAGCTCTGATGGAGGGCAAAATTAATAAGCAGTTGAAAAAAGTTCTGAAGAAAATAGTAAAAGAAGCCCATGAACCCTTGGCTGTAGCTGATGCTAAACTAGGAGGGGTCATTAAGGTAAGTTCATGATTTTCTTTAATGCCTCCTAGTCATATCTTGCCAAGCATCTTAGCTTTTGTAATAGTTGTTTATTATATATTGATTTATTATATATTGGAAATTTCACAGTTCAAAGTGATGTTATTATTTAAATTTGACTCAAGTTCTCATACTTGATCTCTCTTCATTCAGCTAATACAATAATTGTTTTCCACTAGGATTAGCAGACCAAACTTATTTAAGTGGTGCTTGTTTTTTTAGAAAATACGGATGAACAAAAAGATGATAAAATTAGCTTTAAACCTGCCACCTAGAAATAATCTGCTAACGTTGTGTTTGTACTATTACAAAAGTGAGGTCTTGACTTTATTATTGTTTAATTAGCATACATTAGTACAAGGTGGAGTTACTAGAGGTAAAATTTGTCTTGAGGGTGAAAAGATGGAAAAAGTAAGCTCTTACACTGAAAAGCAGAACTGCCATGAGAGCTAGTTGTGGTAGGTTTGATCTTCAGTAGTTGTTAACAATGATGAGTTAATTTATGTTTTAGGGCTCCTAAAAATGAAAAGTATAAGGAGATTTAAGGTTTGTTTTTTTTCTTTAATGTTTTATTGTGGATTATGTGATAGTTTACATGGGAGAACATTAGCTTAACATTCAGTCTATCATATATCGTTTCATTGCCATGGTACAATCCCCTCCATGCATCATCAACCAACCAAAGGGTATGTCTTGCAAGCCATGTCCTTGCCCCCCCCAGTCAGCACACAGCCCCTCTCCCTCTCTGGGTCTAAAGTTCCCAGCCACTCCATCTCTCCACATCATGGTCTCTGCCTGCTTCTCTGGGTAGGGTTTCGCTCTCCGCTCTTCTCCCTTGATGATGGTCCCAGGGACCTCTACTTCTACACTGCAAAGTTCATCACTCCCCTCCTTGCTACAAAACGTCTACCTTTACATTTCTAACACTCACAGTCAGTCCTGATAACAATTATTCACAATTGTATCATAAGACCTATCCACATCTCCTTTCATCAGCCCCACTCAGACAGATTGGATGCTACTCACTGGAGATTCTACTTCCTCCATGCCCTCTGGATCTAGGCTCCCTCTTGAAAACTTGTAAGCCAGTCACTTCTTGCCTTTGAAGCTCCCCTCCCCCCCATTTTGGGTAGCCAATGCCCAAGTTGCCCATTCCTGTCTACTCTTTATGGAGAGGGTGGGAGTGATCTTCGGTGTAAAGATTTGTTCCTTCTTTTGAGCTACTGTATCCATAGATGTAGGTCAAGTTCATCACATTGTATCAGATTACTCTTTTCCTCTTCCAGTCGTTGAAGCCAGGTCAAGTGGGTATTATTTGCAAGTGTGGGTGTTCCTATGATATGCCCTTTCTTCTTATAAGCTGGATGCTTCACTGTCCACTCTAGTCCTTTGTGGCTATGTTACTGACACTGGGCCCAGGAGTCCCCAGGTCTTGCCACACTGCTGGCCAACCAGGTCTCCACCCGGGTTCACAGGAGTCTATTGAATGTTGTAGGACTTAGCTTGCTCTTTCATTGCTGTTTTTCCCCTTATTGGTGACGAACGTGGTCACCAGTCAGAGCGTGTATTCCCATTGAGTTTAGTCTTGGAAGGGGGTTTGCCCTGAGGGGACCCAACCACTTGCCTTGACATCTCCTGCATGAGCAACTTGCTTGTTCTTGTAGTAATCAGTCTGAATGCCGTTACTGTTTTGTATTTTTCCTGTCTGGTTTCTTTCAAGAAGTATCTTCTGGTCTTCTAGCTGCTCCAGGTCTGCTTGTCCTTTCAAGTGGAAATATCTCACTTAAGAAGATTCTGAATGGGGTTCAGGATTCCACCTGTGGTCTTATGTAATACAGAGGCTCCACAGGAAGCCTCCTTCACTGGGTACATTGTAGCCCCATTTTAGGTATTCCAATCAGTTATAGGCCGAAGATGGACTTCCAAGCTTTCTATGGTGATATTTCTGGCTATTCCTTTCTCTCCCCCTGAAGTGTCTATTTTATAATGGTATGCCAGGGAAACCAAGATTCAAAAGACAGCCAGACATCTTAACATTATTTGCCCCCTTTTCCCCATTCCAGCCATGTCTCAATCCCTGTATCCCAGAGCCCTGTTGTTCCAAGGTTGTGCATACATCATTATTTACCACTGTCCCACTTAGCCCATGCAAACCTGCCTAATTGTTTTCCCATCTGCTTTGTTCTTCTATTCCCCTCCCCCTTGTGTATTGGCCCCCTCCCTAGCACCCAAACTTAAGGTTGATTTTTTGAAGGTTGTTAAGTACCATGGAGTCGTTTCCGACTCATAGTGACCTTGTACAGAGTTTCCAAGGCTGTAAATCTTTACGGGAGCAGAAAGCGTCATCTTTCTTCCGCGGAATGGCTTGTAGTTTTGAACTACCAACCTTGAGGTTGGCAGCCCGATTCAGAAGGTAGAATGGTTTATTTAAGAAGTTCATTAAAGGTAGGTTATTCTGATCTACTTTGCCAATATCATTCTCACCATTCCATGAAACATTCATAGTTTTCTGTTAAAAATTGTAAAATTGTGCCTGGAACAAATATTTTTAGCATCATTTTAAATTGAATCCTGCGCATATACATTAGTCTCAAAAGAATGAATAACAAATAGTACTACTTAAGCAGGTGTGTACACACAAGGCATTTACACACAGAAGGGCGTATTGTTGAATGGTGGGATTACAAATATTTGAAGTTTTTTCTTTCCAGTTTCTCTATTTAAAAAACCTGTTTTACAGTGAACAGCTTCACTTGTAACATACTAGATATTTTATTCTTAAACATAGAATGCAGTATATACAATTTTATGTCATGTGCGTGAGGTAAACTAGAACTATGAAGGTATGAATGAAGTTAGCAAATAAAAGTACAAAATTAAAAAATGAGTATGCAGAAGAAAAAATTATTACCTCATTTGTGTGGACTATATTAAAATGTTAAAATACAGTTTTTAAGTGTATGTGTACATACCCATTCATACACACACATATAAATGGAATATTTAAGGACTGCTAACAGTAGAGTCCTGGTGTGGTGCTGGACTGCAAGGTTGGCAGTTCAAGCTCACCAGCCATTATTTGGAAACCCTATACAGGCTCGCTTTGAGTCAGATCAACTCAACAGCACTTAACAACAACATCTGTAGGAAAAGGAGTAGTGACTTTCCATTCACTACTCTTTTATAGTTCCCGTATGTCTGTCGGCTTATTAAACTCTGATGCTAGAAGCTATTCCACTGGTGTTTCAAATACCAGCAGTGTTTTCCATGGTGAACAGATTTCAGCAGTGCTTCTAGACTAACAGACTACTTCGAAGGAATTGGACCCTAAAAAACGGAATAGCAGTGATCTGATAATAGTACTGGAAGATGAGCCCCTCAGGTTGAAAGACATTCAAAATATGACTGAGGAAGAACTGCCTCCTCATACTAGAATCATCCTTAACAACATGCATATAGCAGAGCTTTTGAGACTTTAATTTGCTGATGGGGCAGGACTCAAAAAATGAGAATAAATGATTGCAATCATTAATTGATAGCATAACCTGAAATGTAGACAGTACGAACCTAGGAAAATTGGGGAGGTCATCAGAAATAAAACAGAATACATAAATATCGACATCCTAGGCACTATTGAGTTGAAATGAAATATGCAAATACATGGAGTTGAAAACTAAAAAAAACAAACATACTCTGCATTTTCAATTTGAAAGAACTGAAGAAAAATTGAGGTCTCTGGTTATATATTGATGTATTGTATATGGAGTCCTGGTGCAGTTCTGTTAAGCACTGGACTGCTAACCACAAAATCAAGAAATCAAATGATGTATATTGCATTAGGCAAATCTGCACAAGACCTTTTTAAAGTGTTGAAGAGCAAAGATGTCAGCTTGAGGACTAACGTACGCCTGACCAAGCCTTGGTATTTTCAATAACCTCATATGCATGTGAAAACTGGACAGTAAAAAAAATAAGACCTGAGAAGAATTGATGCATTTGAGTTGTGTTGGCAGATAATACCAAAAGTACCCTGGGCTGCCAGAGTGCTCCTTAGAAGCAAGGATAGTGAGACTTCATCTCATATTTTGGACATGTCAGGAGGGACCCATCCCTGGAGAAGGACTTCACTGGAAAAGATGATGATCCCTAATGAGATGGCTCTAACAGCAGGCTCAAACATAATAATTTGTGAAGATGGTTCATGACCAACCTCAGTGTTTTGTTCTGTTGTGCATAAGTCACTATGACTGGATGTCACCCTAAAAGCCACTCTTAATCAATAACTACTGATAAGAATATTAATATTATAAATGTAAAACAAACCAAATCAGCTAATTTGTTGGATGTTAATATGAGGTAGGAAAAGATCCCTTCAAACTAACTAGGTCAAATTGTATTTGTCATTTGATGACTTTTATTTAGCCAGAGTGTCTTCAGGATTCTTATATCAGTAATGACTATAATGCATTCAAATGTTCTTCACATAAACAACTAAAAACTATGATTTTCATCAAACTGAAAAATTGCCTACTTGAGAAGCTTCAAAAGTTTGTAGAAAGATGAAATTGAAGATAACTGGGGAAGGGGAGATAATGGAACTTTTCTATGAATTGAAGTTCACTCCTATTTAAATCAGTGCTGTTTTAGCATTGAAGAAACGGTTTACAGAAAGGTTCTTTTCATTTAATACATATGTTCTTGTTCATTTAGGAAAAGCTGAATCTCAGCTGTATCCATAGTCCCATTGTTAATGAACTTATGAGAGGCATCCGTTCACAAATGGATGGATTAATCCCTGGGGTGGAACCACGTGAAATGGCAGCTATGTGTCTTGGACTGGCCCACAGGTGAGATTTGCTAAATGTTTTAATTTAGTGAATGAAACATACTTCTAAACACAAAAATACCAATGTAATCCTCCTAACAAATTTATGAGGAAGCACAAATATTATCCTTATTTTTACTGATGAACTGATGCTCAAGTTTAGCAAAGTTGCAAGTGGTAAAGCCAGAATTAGAACCCAAACATCATGACTCTTGCTTGGGTTCTAAACCTCATCATAGATGGTTTCCCTTGATTCTCTTCCAGTTTGTGTGTGTGTTTCTTCTTTGATGAGTTTTTGAAATGAAGAAAAAAGTATATTAAATCACCGTGTTTTTAATTAGAGGTCACTTAGAACAGGTAATTCAGTTATGCTGTGACATAGTGTTCCCCAAAAGCTTGCTGTTATGTGAAATTATGCACTAAAAATAACAGGGTTTGTAAAGAAAAATGTAATTAAGAGTAGTTTGATCAAGACTTAGGTAAATTTTTAACCAGAGCACTATTGCAGAGCATCCTCGTGGGGCGTGCTGTAAGATAAACATTAAATAATTGTAATAAACACAGGCAGGAATGCAAGAGTTAAAGGAAATAGAGGTAAGTACTGTTAACTGAAGGAGCTCTGGTAGCGTTGTGGTTACAAGTCAGGCTGCTAACCTCAAGGTCTGCAGTTCGAAGGTGTCAGCTATACCGTGGGAGATAGATGAGGCTTTGTGCTTCTGTAAAGATTTAACCTCAGAAACCCTGTACCAGGATCGCTATGAGTCAGAATCGACTCTACTCCACATCATCATTGTAATGAAGCAAAGTGTATGATTTTGCTGAATGTAACATTGAAGATCTGCTCTGTAAACCTTCACTCAATTCACAATAAAGTTTTTTTTTTAAGAGCATAGAGTAATGAAAGGGTTGGAGTTATATTAAGGGTCTTTTTGTCTCCTAGGGGATACCTGAACAGTGTCTGGAGACAGTTTTTCTTGTCACCATGAGAGGGGCAAGGTACTAACACTTAAACGGGTAGAGGCAATGGATGCTGCTAAACATTCTTTAATTCACAGGCCAGTAAAGAGTTTTCTGGCCCAAAATGTCAGTAGAGCAGACTGATGTTCAGAAAATAAAGTATTATTCGTCCATGGCTGTTTATTGTCAGGTGTTATAGAGTGCTGTGCTCTTTATTACCTGGGAGTGTAAGACATGTGTAATATGTTCCTATTCAACTTATTTTCATACTTAGAAAAAAATCAAATGATATATTTATGAGAGGGATTTCAGTTTTAAAAAAGTTTTTAAAAGCTGTTAACTAAAATCCTTTCCCTAAATGTTATTTACTAATTTATTTCTCCCCTTATCCTAGCCTTTCTAGATACAGACTGAAATTTAGTGCTGATAAAGTGGATACAATGATTGTTCAGGCTATTTGTAAGTATAGTATATGTGAAGTAGAATCTCTTTTTTCCTTTGTTTTTTTTTTCCAACTTGTGAAATTTTTATGGTTTTTTTGTTAGGAAGAAGGGAAATTAACTAGATAAGTAGATAAATGGGGAAACTTAGCGAAAATGTGACTTGGAGACAGTGTGGGTCAATCACACTGCTACATTATATTACTCAAACTATATAAATAGGTTCATTTGTCCTTTTTTCTGCCAAACATAGTAATGCTATAAATGGGTCTCTATACAGTTTTGTATTCTGCTTTTTTTTTCACTTGGTTTTATAATAAGCTAATCTCATTAAATGATTTTTGGAAAGATCAAAGTATTGTAACAATTTCCTATTTAACAAATCACCTGTTTTCTTTTCATTTTAATTAACTGCAGCTTTGTTAGATGACTTAGATAAAGAACTAAACAATTACATCATGCGATGTCGAGAATGGTACGGCTGGCATTTTCCTGAATTAGGAAAAATTATTTCAGATAATTTGACATACTGCAAATGTTTGCAGAAAGTTGGTGAGTAACATGTTTATCCTTTAAGGCACTGGAAATAACTGAATTTACCCGCATCCTAAAACATGGGCTATGGTAAAAATATATATATATATCCCTTTATAATATGCACATAAATTGGCAGTTTCTGTTTGAGAGTGGTGTTGCTTTTGGATTTTAGGACCAAAAAGTTTTTGTTTGACCTATGGTGTGATGCAAAACATAGTTCACTGTAGCTTGTTATGATTAAGTTTCAGTGAACTTGTCGTTAACCAGGGACAATGGAGAGTTGAAGAAATAGATGTCTTTATAATACTAGGGATATCTAGTAGAATAGTTTTGCTATCTATACTATTATACCAAGTAAAGTAATGGAAGCACAGTGGCTCCACATATGATAAGCACTGGACTGCAAGCCACTAGGTCCATGGTTTGAGTCTACCAGCTGCTCTGAGGGAGAAAGATGAGGCTTTCTGCTTGGAAACCGTATTCAGGATTACTAAAAGTTGGAACCAACTCCACGGCACTTAACAACAAGGACGGAAATACCATTAGTAGAAGAACGTGAGAATGACTAACAAAATATAGATTGCATATCATTAGTCTTATGTTTGCCTTTTGCCAGCTTTTCTAAGTTTTCATGTAGGATTGTGTTTCGGTTTTACTCTTGAACGTTTGGAGTCTATTTTTTGGAGGGAGGGGATGTTTAGCTCTAGAATTAAGCCTTTATAAGGATACCTAGTAGGTCAAACTTTTACTTTTTGTTTTGTTTAGGCACCAGTTTCATTGGCTTATTTCCACTTAGTTTTTGAATGTTTGATGAATTGTATATAATTGGTTGAAGCGTGATTCTCCCTCATCCTCTGCAAACATTCCGTAGGCGATAGGAAGAATTATGCCTCTGCCACACTAGCTGAGTTACTGCCAGAAGATGTTGAAGCAGAAGTGAAAGCAGCTGCAGAAATATCTATGGGAACAGAGGTTTCAGAAGAAGATATCTGCAACATTTTGCATCTCTGCACCCAGGTAAGTTGAAACACCAAGAAAATAATTGTGCTATATAATACTAATTATCTGATGGCAGTGATGATTTATTATCATTGTTCACCTGAAATCTAAATGAGGGTGTACAGTCACTACCTCATCTGATGCCATTTTGATTTCTTTTTTCAGTAGGGCTTCAAAAAGGTCACTGAAAAATATCATTATCTTAGTTTCACTTTTCCATGAACTTTATGAAGCCCTCATGTAGTTGAAGGAGGCAAATGTATGGTACAATGAAATCAGAAGAGTATTTATCTAAATATTGACGATATAATTTTAAAAATTGCAACTAGAAGACTCACCGATGTGGCTTGAGTTATTTAATTGCAAGCTATTTCATGTTTTAGCGTACAATGTATTTCTCTGTAATTTGGAAGCAAGCATACTACAATCACAGAGAGTGACACAAATAGCTAGCTCTTGTAGTTTTTATTGTCCCCCTTAGATTACTTGGCAATCTTTTCTTTCTTTTAACTTTTTATTGTGAATTGAGTGAAGGTTAACTGACAGGATCATCAGATTTACATTCAACAATGTATACACATTGTTTCATCTCAATGACAACAATCCCCTCCTTGCTAAAACAGGTATCCTACTAACCTTTTGTGGCTTCCCTTTTACATCTTATAGTTCACAAACGAACACATAGGAAACAAAAAAATGTTCTAAGGGCATTTTCTGAAAGCCAGCATCCTGCCCATAGGCACACAGCCTTACTTGGTGTAAGGGCCTAGAGCCCACCATTGTTGTATCTCTCCATGCTGTCGCGTCTACCACCATCTCTGCTGTTGTTGTGTTGGTTTCTCTTACATACAGTAATGTTGAATAACATTTTAATAAAAAACAGGTGTACTAAGTGATCTGTGATCTGTTATCAGTGTTTTCATCTAATTCTCATAGAGGCTATATGAAACTGCAGTGGTTATTGTGGGTGTCGAGTCAGTTCAGACTTATGTCAACCCTCAGAGGAGCGGTTGGTGAGTTTGAGCCACTGATCATGAGGTTAGCAGCATGGTGCATATCCTTCACTGCCACACCAGGACTGTTGGATTTGCTCAGGGTTTTTACACAGGTGCTCTGTGATCGTTTAAGACTCAATATTCTAGACAAATATTAATGTTATATACTTGTTTTTTTCCCCTTAAAAATATTTATGTTTTATGTTTGTTCCTCGTGCTAGGTGATTGAAATCTCAGAATATAGAACCCAGCTCTATGAATACCTACAAAATCGGATGATGGCCATTGCTCCCAATGTTACAGTCATGGTTGGAGAATTAGTTGGAGCAAGGCTTATTGCTCATGCAGGTGATGGTTGTGATGTTATTTGTAAATATGTGTCTTTAGAGTTCCATTTTCAGTTTAGAATTTTTTATATTTAAATATTTATTATTTATTAAAGAAATATTATATAATAGAAAGAAGATGGAATATAGGTGAGGGCTAAGGGCCAAGTGTTCAATGATGATTTTTTTCTTATTTGCCTGACTTCCTTTTGGATTATGAAGGCATTTTTAGTCACTACCTCGTCTGAGACACTTATGGTCCCATTGTCAGGCATTTGTTGTGGTTAATTAGAATATTTAGATGAATTGCAAGAGGTTGAAATCTGTCAGCATTTCATTATATTAAGATTTGAATACAGTTTTAAGTTACTACCAGTTACTTTTACCTAAGCACCTGAATATTTGATGTTCAAATAAACCTCAAAATGAAGACAAGATTACTTGGTGACTCTGTATACTTGTATACTAATACCATCCCCATTTCATACTAATGAAACAATAATGATATGTCTCAGGCAAATAAATTATAGTAATAGAACTAATAAAGTCGGGCTGTGAATCTCCAAGGTCAGCAGTTCGAAACTACCAGCTGTTCTGTGGGAGAAAGATGAGCCTTCTGCTCCCATAAAGATTCACAGCCTTGGAAACCCTGTCCAGGGTCGCTATGAGTCGGAACCGACTCCACGGCACATAACAACAACAACAGTTTCTTACAGAAATTCATCGTGACAATTTGCTCCTGGTAAGGAAAGAAATGTAAATGTTGACACATCAGGATATTTAGTGAATTCTGGCCTACAGAATTCTGTAGTACCTTAGATTCTTAATTTATTGTGGCTGCTGTGTAATGCTTGGAATTTTCAAATACTTGGAAGTGCATTCTCTAATTTTTCTTTTGTAGGCTCGCTTTTGAATTTGGCCAAGCATGCAGCTTCTACAGTTCAGATTCTCGGAGCAGAAAAGGCACTCTTCAGGGCCCTCAAGTCTAGAAGGGATACTCCTAAGTATGGTCTCATTTATCATGCTTCACTTGTAGGCCAGACAAGTCCTAAACACAAAGGAAAGGTATGTTGTGTTTTCACCCCTGTGTAGGACTTTTTCCTACACCACCTCAATTTCATCCATATAATGTGCAATACATCTTTCTGTTACTTCTTTTTCATTAAATGGCGGGAAGTGGGTTCTGTAATGGAAAATTTGAAAAGCACTTTTATAACATCTGAAAAAGAAGGTTAGAGGAAATTTGCTCTTATTAAAAAGTTTCTATAAATCCTAAGATACAGGCTTGTAGAAGGAAAGAAATCATGTAGAGTTTAAAGCTATGTAATCAGAAAATCATCTGTAATTTATCTTTAAGGGCTACTAGTGTTAGTATATGCTTGCATTTTTTCTAAAATTCATTTATTGGTGAGAGGTGGTGATTGGCACACCAAGATCATTGCTTGACAGAAAACTTTATTGTCAGTGTTTAATAAAATATTAACACGTGACAGCACAAGCACTGTGCTAAGCTCTTGTAGTAGTTCTGTGAGCCCTAGGTATCTATTTGCTGATACTTCGAAGTACTTGTCAGTCTTTTTGTAGGACACATGGTTAATGGGAAAAAACTTGAAATGTTGTCAATTTCAAAGCAAAGATGAGGGTAATTGAGGGTCCAACCAAAATGCTAACTGCAAGACCCACAAGATATTTGAAAGACTTTGAAGGAAGAGGATCTATATAGTTATGGATAATTTAAGGGGTAGAATTCGTATGCTGCCCCTTAGCGGTTCCAGGACGAACTTTATGGAAGCAGTCTCATCTGTCTTCTGTGGCTAGACTGGAGGCTTTGAACCGTTAACTTAGTGCTAGCAGCTCACAATTAAGTGCACTAAAATACTAGGCCTCCTACATCAAGCACTGCTGATTACAAACTAAAGACGTTAAAAGAGTAGTTGGAGCTAATTTAGACTGAATTAACAAAGTTTTGTCAGTGATGGAGGTAATATATAATCAGTTGGCCATTGATGACAAAGATTCAAATATAAGATGGATGGCTGAATTGTGAATCAGTGCTTTAATATATCTTGATTATTTGTTTTCTTAGAATGTTCTAATAAATAATTGAGATGACTTTTACATTCAAATGGGAATGGTTTGCATGCCTTTAACTTCATGTTCTCTGTTAGATTTCTCGAATGCTGGCAGCCAAAACTGTTTTGGCTATCCGTTATGATGCTTTTGGTGAGGATTCCAGTTCTGCGATGGGGGTGGAGAACAGAGCCAAATTAGAGGCCAGGCTGAGGACCTTGGAAGACAGAGGGGTAAGAACCACCTCCTTTCTGTTTATTTCAGAAGTGACATATATCTCAGGTTAATAAACTGTGAGTTGTTTTATGTACTTTATTACTTGTTTCACCTGCTAATGTAAACATATATTAAATATTGTAGTATTCTTATTAACACTTTCTAATTTCTTTTGTGTGTATCAAGAATTGATATATGGAACATGTCTACCATTAGGATATGGTAGTCAAAGTAAACGAAAAGAAAATTTATCAGTTACTGCTTCTTGCTGGTCCAGGTATTTACTACACTATATTGTAAACATATACTTGGTTTTTTCTCCCCCCTCAGATAAGAAAAATAAGTGGAACAGGAAAGGCACTAGCAAAAGCAGAAAAATACGAACATAAAAGGTTTGTAACATTTGGGAGAGGTTACATGAATGTTAATTATTGATAATAGTTCTTAATTATAAACATAAGTACCTCACTATACCTCTAATTTTTTTTCTTGGTCATTTATAGTTTGCATATTCATTTCTAGGTTTTAATCGTGATACATACATATTTACATTGGTTTAATAACTAACATAGCATACTGTTTACCTCTTTTTCACTTCTAGTATTTAACTTACTTATTTCCAGATAATGATATACAGATCTACAGATCTGTATATCATTTATTTTTAAAAGTCTGTTTTAGAGCACATCTAACATGAAATCTGTAAGAAAGTCAAAACAAGATTAGTTTAAAATGGGTAATGATTCGCTTCAAATTGACGAAAAGATTTGTGTGGTGAGGTATCTTGGTTGTTATCAAGGTACTATCCTGTTCAATCCTGGTGAGGTGGTGGTGATGCAGTGTGCCTTCTAAATGCACTGATGGAGCTAGTATGTGGGTCAACTTTCCTGAAGCAGTTTTGACAAATCAAGAGCCTTAAATAAATATTATTGACCCAATAAATTCTTTAAGTCATCTCATAATAAGAAATTTGGATTTATATAGAAAGATTCTGTATTGTATGATCTGTATTCTTTCAGTAGTAGACTTTAATGTGATCCTTGTGCATGGGGAGCAGTATAATTGCAATTTTAACAAATTATAATTTGCTTAATTGAGAGATGTGAGTCTTTTTGATAAGTTGTTAGTTACGCATGCATCTGTAATTCAGCTTAAAAAGTAGAATGTGACTAAGTTTGTTTTGGGCAAAATTTTACTAAGCTCCAATTAATTAAATCTTAGGCTATAGAGGGAGTCTTGTATCCAAGTGTATCCCTCTCTTGTTCTGCTGTATGAGATTTTGCGTTGAAGACTTAGAATCTATATAAAAATTGACTCAGATTGTTTTGTTTTGCTTTTTCACTAAATGACCAAAGGTTCTAACTTTTTCAGTGAAGTGAAGACTTACGATCCTTCTGGTGACTCTACATTGCCAACCTGTTCTAAAAAACGAAAGATAGAACAGGTAGATAAGGACGACGAAATCACAGAAAAGAAAGCAAAAAAAGCCAAGATTAAAATCAAAGGTTAGTTGGTTTGCCGTTTTTGTCATTTATAGTTTGGTTTAACAACTACATTAGTCTTGATGGAGGAGTACATGCATTAATCACCCATGTTGAAAGTTGATGGTGCTTTAATAAGCCATCATGTTCTCTGGGAATAGTTAGGATGATTTTAAATATACATACGACTCCACAGGTATGTGTGAAGCATTTCATAAGTACGTGGAATTAGTTGTATTAGAAGAATTAGAGCACAAGTTTATTTTCTACTACATAAACTGAATAATTAGCTTAAAATAGAGGAACTTTTTGTGTGGTTTCTAATTGGTGAAAATTTTGTTAAGGGTGAGTATAGGATTGACGTACAGCAGTGGTTCTCTTACGTGCAGTGGACTGGAAGTGGACATACTTGGTGGACCTGCTCAACAGTGAGCAAGGCTGTCTTGTACAGTTGCGGAGTGTCCCATTCCTTAGGTGCCTCCTGTGTTTATTGAGTGTTTACTCTGTTAGCGTAGGGGTTATGAGTCAGGCTGCTAATCTCACAGTCAGTGGTTCTGTGGGAGAAAGATGAGGCTTTCTGGTCCCATAAAAATTAATGCCTCAGAAACTCTATACAGGGTTGCTATAAGTTGGAACCAACTCCACAGCATATCACCACCACCACTAGCTAGTCTCACAAGAGCCAGGCATTAAAATAATGAACTTTGGGTTCTAAATAGCTAAGCAGTCCAAAGTATAGTGTTAACATGTGGACCCGTGTCTTGCCTCTGCCATTTATTTGATATGAAGAAAATATGAATGTATTTAACTTCTCTTTCCTTGTTAAAAAAATAACAAAACTTACCTCTTATTGTGAAGATTAAATGAGGACCTGGCACCTTATTGTACTACCACTCGAGCAGGATTATCGTCATCAATAGGAACATTATTAGCACTTTAGTGCTATAATTCTGTTTCCTGGGAGAGGACCAGAGAAGGCTTCCCTGACTTGGAAAGAGTACATGAGAGTGAGCTTGGGGAAAGAAATCAAAAGCCAATCAGGGCCCATGTAAGGAAGTGAAAGGAAGTCTTTTCCTGGCATGTGGAGAGCAGGAGCAAAGGTATGATGAGGTCTACAGAAGTACAAAACATGAACCAAAGTTTGGCCATGGATGGGTGGAAAAAAATAGGCTTAGACTAGTTTCAGGATTATACATGTCTGCTACTTATTAGGTTAATTAAGCGTTGCTCTATAATTCAACTATGATTAATGATGGTCTTTGAATGCATTATCTGACATGTTAATTGCATATATTCAGTTGAAGAGGAAGAAGAAGTACTAGTGGTGGAAGAAGAGGAAACCTCTGTGAAGAAGAAAAAGAAAAAGGATAAAAAGAAACGCATTAAGGAAGAACTGGTTTCTGAGGAAGAGCCATGCACCAGCACAGCAATTTCTGTATGTTTGTTTTTAATTACCAGTCTTTTATTGGCATGAGCAGGGTCTCTGTATTAATCCACTATGTAAAGTATATGTTGAGGTAGTCATTTGTAAAATGGTTTTCCTTGATGTGGCAGTAAAATAAAATATTACTTTGTTATACTGTTTATTAAAGGCATTTCCTATTAAAGCATCGACTACAAACTGAGTTTAGTTTGCTTTGAGAGATGAGAAGACTTGATTCCATAGAGGTGACTTTTATAGATTTAGGTTTTATTAAGTTCTATCAAGTCAAGTAGATTCCAACTCAATTTTTAAAGTCTTATAAAAAGGCATTTATCATAAGTCTTTGCCACCCCCCCATTTTTTTTTAAAAGGAAATAAAATTGATCTACTTTCCTTTTAAGGAGTCTAGGTAGTGAAGTATGCTTCACATTGGGCTGTTTACTGCAAGGTCTGTCAGTGGAAGAAAGATGAGACATCCTGCTCCTATAAAAATTTACAGCCTCAAACTATATACGGTCCCTGTGAGTTGGAACCTACTCGACAGCACACAGCAGCAGGATTTTCCCTTTTTTTTTTGTAATATCAACTTGTAATCACAACTCTTTCAAAAGCATTCTTGTTGGTTATTTTCAGAGTCCAGAGAAAAAGAAGAAAAAGAAAAAGAAGAGAGAGAGTGAGGACTAATGGAAGAGAACTCTAAGGTGCCTGGACACATACTAAGCTCAAGATTTAACCAGGAATATGTCAGAGATGCCCTCTAAAATATTTAAGGGGAGGCTGAATGGAAGTGATTAATCATCTGCAGCATTTCAGTCCTACAACTCTTTGTGTCTTAATGTCAACTCTGCTAACCTCATTACATCATTATTTCTTAAGAGTCTTTGATATATAAATAAAAATTATTTTCTTTGTATTTTAAGGCAGTTCTGTGATCTTTTACTCCAGGTGAAGACTCTTTATCCCTTTCTATATTTTATTTGACTTCTGGTAATAGTTTTGATAATTATGGTTGAACCCATGGTTAATTTGAAATTTAGCCTTTTGAAAGACAGGGATTAAGATTGACCAAGTTAAGTACTTCATTTTCATGTGTGTCTCTGGCCTTTTTGGATGGTTTGCTTTTTAGGAAAAAATTTGTAGTTTTATGCACTTGTTGGTATTTTGGAAAAGTGCAACAAAGTAATTATCTAGATTCGGATTTGTAACTTATTAAATAAAATTTTAAGGTAAAAAATGAACAAAGTGGAAACAAAAGCTGAGGAAAAATACAGTAAGTACAAATTAACAAATCTTTGTGTGAGTCTGAAAGATAGTATGTACTTTTGACATGTTAAAGCCCAATTTAATACATGAAGTTTATTGAAATAACTACCACTTTTATTAGTATGGCCATGGACAAATCAGCAGCCTCCCTCTTTTTGAAGTATCAGTTACCCAGTATTCATTTGTAAAATATCAGATGATAGTAATTTTCAATTATAAATAAGCTTCAAATCTACTTTTTTTTTTTTTTTTTAAAGGTTTTTATTGTGGATTGAGTGAAAGTTTACAGGGCATATCATCAGTTTTACATTCAACAAATCATATACTTATTGTTTCATTACAATGATTTTAAGCCCCTCCGTGTACCATCAGTTAACAGTATTTCTCTCTATTCACTTTAGCTTTTTAAAAACAAACCAAAAAACGACTCAGTCATATATAATAATTTACATCTCCAAAGGGCACATTCTGCAAGTCTGCCTCATGGCCACCAGCTCTTAGTCCCTCTCTTCTTAGTCCATGAATCTAGAGTCCTCAGCTGCTCCCCCTCTCCATGCCCCCATCTCTGCCTCCATCTGTGGTGCTGCTGCTTCTCTGGATAAGGTCCCGCATTCTGCTTGTGTGCTTCTCTCTTGATGGTCCTAGGGTCCTCTGTTCCTGGACTGTAACATTAACCACTCCCCAGTTTTTGTTACAAAACTTCTACCTTTAAAATTGTGACTGTCGCAATTAGTCATGATAACAATTATTCACTATTGAATTTTACGAATCTTATCCTCATCTCTTTTCACCAGACCCATCTAGACAAGATGACAGCTGTCCGCCCCCATACTCTTAAACTAAACTCCGTCTTGAAACCTTATAAGCCAGTCACTTCGTGCCTTTATTGCCACTTCATAATTGCCTGTGTACAGACAGCATGGCATTGATAGTTGATGTGAAGTCTCTTTCCCTCTCTGTTGGTATTTAGAGTAACTACCGCTCTGAGTATAGGTCAGGTTATCAAATTGAAGCAATTTACCCTTGTTTCCTTTATCAAAAATTCATTTGTCTTTGTTATCTCCTTCTTGTCAAGTTCTGATTATCAAGCCATCAAGGCTAGGTCAAATGGGTACTGTCTGCAAGTTTGGGTGTTCTTGTGCATCTCCCCTCACTTCATATCAGCTGGATGCTTCACTCTGAGCTCTAGCCCTCTGTGGCTAAGTCCTTGTCCATGGGATCAAGTGTCCTCAGGCCTCACCTCACTTTGGACCAACCAGCCCTTCCTCTTCGCTCTCATCTCCAGGTCAATGGGATTCAATGGATTGGGGTTGAACTCAGCCCATTTCTTCATTGATGACTGCCTGCCTCTTCCACTCACCAGTAGACCAGTGTGATCACCAGCAAGCTTACATGCTTGTTTGTGTATTCCCTTTGAGTTTCAGTCTTAGAGGGGAGTTTTTCCTGAAGGTTCTTGATTGGGTTTTTCCTGGTGATCCTTCTTTGAAGATGCATCTTCTGTCACTGTAGCTGTTCCAGTCTACATGTCCTTTCTAATGGGAATGTCCCACTTCATAAGGTTCTGGATGGTTCTCATGATTCCATCTAAGGTCCTATACTCTGTAAAAGCTTTGCACGAGGCCTATTTCACTGGGCAAGTTCTAGAACCCATTTTAGGTATTCCAATCCGTTAGAGGCTGAAGACAGGCTTACAAATTTTCTCTAATCATGTTTCCCAACATTCATTTCTATCCCACTCAAGTGTCTATTTTACAATAGTAGGCAAGGGAAACTAATCTTCATAAGGCAGTCAAGGATTTTAGTATTATTTACCTTCTTCAAGCTATACCTAGATCCCTGTATACCAGAGTCCTGTTGTTCCAATTGAGTTGTTAACTGCTGTCGAGTCGGTGCCAATCCATAGCGACACTGTATAGGGTTTCCAAGGAGCAGCTGATGAGCTTGAACTGCTGACCTTGCAGTTCAAACGGCTTTGCAGTCTGGCTCATTAATCCACAGCACCACAACAGGACGAGTATGCATCACTACCTCTGTGCCACTCGGCCATGCAAACCTGTCTTAGTCTTCCCCTATCTATTCTTCCACCTCCTCCCCCATTCTTGTACTGCCCTCCCCAACACCCAAAATAAACTCCCACTCCAACCCCATTATGGTTACCTTATATTCCATTAGTTCTTCCCTCCTTATAAGTTATAAGTTACCTTATATAAGTTACCTTATATTCCATTAGTCTATTTTATCCAGTAATCTACCTGACCTTCCCACCACCTGGATCTCTGTTCTGTGTTTACCTTCTTTCACATTGTAATTGTTTTGATCATAAACTGACCTCCCAGATCCTCTGTTCTTACAATTTTATTCTGTTCTTGACTCTTCCATTTGTCGACTGAGTTCAGGGTGACCCTGCCACATGTAGTTGTGTGTTCTTGTTGGTTTCTCAGTCCACAGAACTTCCTTTACGATGTTTTTCATAGCAGGATTGGCTCCTGGAGCAGCTGAGCATCTTGAATTAGAAAGCAATGGATTTCTTGCTTCTGCTACAAATTCCCCTAGCTGTAAGCCTTCCAACCTTCTAAATATTCCTTTATACGTGGTTCAGAGTTCTGGGACCATCCCCTGAGCCTTCTTGATCCTGTATTCTGTGTTGTTTGATGGAGCTCCTTTATTGCACTTCCACCCAATCTGTCATCTTGTTTGTTCTCTCCAAATCTAGGTATTTTGATTGAGGTTTATTGTTAAGTGCTATTGAGTCGGTACCGACTCATAGCGACACCGTGTAGGGTTTCCGAGGAGCAGTTGGTGAGCTTGAACTGGCAACTTTGCAGTCCAGTGTATTAAGCCCAGTCCTATACCAGGATAAAAACAACTAATGTCCTTTTACATCATCCAGTAGTACAACAGGTTAGTGTTTTAACATGTTCAGTTAACACTGACCCATGAACCTCCTAGGAACTAGCCAAGAGGTTTACAGCTCAAAGAAGATAGACTTTGAGAACACGTAGTCCTTTTGAGGAGTCTGGCCTCGAGAAAACCTAGTTGAATTACACAGCTACCAGCTTTTCTGAGTGTCTAAATCCTAACTTTTAGGACACTAACCCAAAGGTAGATTCTGATTCTGCTTGGTCTTAGTGAAATGCTTACCTTACTGAAATCGTGTATTTGGAAGCTCAGGTTTTATATACCTACTTTTGATTTTCACGTTTTAAGAATTTGTCACTATAGCACACAAAATCTCTCCATTGCCTCCCACCTTCTGAGACCTTGATTTGTCCCTTCTCCAACCTCTGAACACTAGCCACACAGTTCTCTGTCCCCAGGACTGAAAGAAATGTGCTGTTGCTGCTATGAAAAATTTAATCCATCTCTTGCATCACCAAGGCTGTCTCAATAAACTTGGCTCAGATTTGTCCCATATCATTTTGGGTAACACACAGTCTGCTGAACTTATATAATGGGAATCAACTAGGGATGCTGGTAAAATGCAAGTCTTGATTGGAATCTTGATTAGCAAGCTTCTGGGGGATGGAGATCCATGCAGCTGGCAGCAAAGTACAGGGTAAGTTACCTAAGCTCTCAGTCTGTTTTTCTTATTTGCAATTGGATTGTCCTGTGAATTGAAATAATATTTGTGAAAGCTTTTTTTAAATGTTCATTTTTTGCTATGTTCCTTAAAGTCTTCACTCAGTTATAGACCATCCTTGCATACTTTCCTTACCTATGATTTTTTGTGAATTGAGTGAAGGTTTAGCATCATCAGCTTTACATTCAGCAAGATACTTTGTTTCATTTCAGTGATTATAATCCTCTTCCTTGTGACTCTCCATTTACATCATTTCACATTTATGTGAACAAAGCAAAAATATTTGATGCACACAGAAAACAAAAAATACATAATCATTTAAATGTCCAAAGGGCACATTCTTCTGTAAGCCAGCCACCAGCCTGCAGGTACACAGCCTTTATCAGTCCATGGGCCTATAATTGGCAGCTGCTGTCTCAATTGCCTCTGCTATCTTTGCTGTTACCACTTTACTAGGTGGGAATCTTACCCTCTATTCATGCTCTTCCTTCCTGATGGTCCTGGGATCTCCTTCCCTACTATTAACTGGAATATACTGGGCTGTAATGTTTCTTTAATGATCAGTGAATTCCTGGTGGAGGAAGAACTAGGTTTTTATGTTTAGGTAAAAATATAAATGCTGCCTCTGATTTTCTGTACAAATGTTAACACCATTTATTCATAAGTCTCTTAAGTGTTAAGAGGGATCAGAGTCAGAATTTAGCCTTAGACTTTGGACTCTGTTGTGTGCTCATTAATTTTGAATTCCATTGCCAAAAGTTAACATTTGTTGACTGTATTTTAGACTTTTGATTTGCTTTTGTTTAAAACCATTTCTGATAGCATGTCAAATGGTAATTCT